CGAGATTGGCTTTTTTTTCACTCACCATAATCCCCTTGAGATCCATCCAAGCTGCTGCCTGTTAGAAAGGTCATTTTTTTTTTTATAGTCAGGCTATAGTTTATTACAGCAAAGGGATAAAAAGCAGGATCAATAAAGGAAAAAGGTACATCAGGCAGAAGCTGGAGGATACCAGGTATAAGCTTCCAAGAGTCCTCTCCCAGTGGAGTCACACAGGACATACTAAATCCCCCAGCAATGAACTGCAGAAACACATGCAAAATGTTTTCTTCCAGGGGAGTCTGCTTGAGCCTGAGTCCAGGGTTTTTATTGGGGTAATTGCAGTGGTAACTGCAGTTACTGAAACTTCAGACCCTCCAGAAGGAAAGCAGGTGTTCACCATAAATCACATTTTTTACACAAACTATCCACACAAGCTGGTATAATGGGGTTCAAGACCTCAAGCATGCACAGTGCCCTAATCAGTTAGTAGCATAGGGAACATTCTAAGACCTCAGTTCCTAGGAGCCAGCCAAAGGCTAGTCATACAAGTAGGCCCTTCTGAGAATGTACAAGATTTGAGTAACTCAGGGCTGCTGGGTTAATTATTTACTTCACAGACAGGAATCAAATTATCGTGAATTTAATGTACTATATATATATGATAAAGCAGTACATTATAAAATACATACATTAAATTATAATTAAATGTAAATAAATATATCATAAATGTTATAGGACATATCATACATATGATAAGCAGTACATTAAATGCAAGGTATTATTATTATTACAAATGAGTAATGAGGGCTAGAGCTGTCCTAGGGTGTGACTGAGCAGAGTAATAATGGACATTTGCGAGGCAGCTCCTCAGAGCACTGAATGGGAGGCTGTGAAAAAAATCCCACTGAAGAGTTTTTCTCTCTGATAGGGATAATTTTGTCACTAGAACCATTTTGTCCCTCTCCAGTTTGACACCATACATTCTTATCATTAGCTACGTATTTCTTGGGGGGGCATGCACAAGCTAAATTGTTCCACCACCCACGATGGAGTTTTGGCAAGGATGTGACCCTTCCAAGGAAGGTGCAGAATTGAGCCTCTGGAAAAAGGCATAGACAGGTGCTTCCTAACAAACCCTGAGCAAGGCTCAGTAAAAGACTGTGATTGGTAATATGATAACTAATACCAACAGTGAATTTGAGTCTCAACTGGATTGAGATGAATTTATGTGAACCTGAATACTGTGGGAATATCATTTTGAGCTAAATACTGGACTAGATGCCCAGCCAAACCCTGATCTATTTTTTTCCAAAAAAAATGTGCCCTCTAAGGATGAAGAAAAAGACTATGGAAATGAAACTTGGGCACTGTGCATTAGAATGATTTCCTTGTGGAGAGGGGAGGAGGAGGGTCATCCTGAGGAGGCACACTTACCCATGCCTAAAACTGCCAAAAGCATTTACCAAGGGATAGTCTGTATTATCTGAACCCAGTTGTGGTGGTAGCCAGTAGACTGGAGAGCAACTTGGGGGAGGGTGGATCTTACAGATGGACAACAAGCCTCCTGATGGAGCTTTGGTGAGAGTGCATGTTAGAGTATTTTAGCTGCTGTCAGCCTCCTCCCCTGCTTTATACCTGCGTAGCTGCTGTAGTTCCCCCCACCAACTGCCCAAGAGGGGGACCTGAGGCAGTTGCCCTTATTCTGCATATAAGATAAAACCAGCTTATTTGTATTGCTGGTATATTCTTAGAAAGGTCATTTTTGATGATGATAAAATGATACCTTTAACCAGAGTACCACCAAGGAGCTCCCTGTTTGGTGATTTTCGGCTTTTTTACTATCCACCAACAAAGGAAACCTTGTGTCCTTTGTGTGGAAACAGCATCAGTAACTCCAAATATGCAAAATTTCCCTAACACCCTCATAGATAAGACAGTATTCTATGGTGGTAAACAAAAGATAAGTTTGTAAATTCAGATGTGGTCTATTGACCTTCTCAGATCCAAAGTTTCAGGAAGGAAAAAAAGATTTCCTCATCCTGTTGAAGTGTGCACACTGCCAAGACACTGGTTCTGTTTCTTGGGTCTCCACTGATTCTTAAAGTGATCGGTAGAGAAGCACTTTGGGCTTCTCTAAAGGTTTCCTTTTATCCAGAGCCATGATGGCCATTTTGCCCATGGACCCCAAATTGCCCCCCAGAAGACAGATCTCAATTCTGCTGCCCTTGGGGGAGGATCTCTTTTATGAAAACCTGCTTCTCTGGAGAATTCTGAGAAATGGTAATTTCTGAACATCCCACCCTCACTGACCACATTTCCATTATAATCATTGTGAGGTTATCTTTCGAAGATGCAGGAATGAAACCAGAAGTTATATGAAAGCTATGTTTTTTAGAATAAACCAAATGTGTGTAAAAACTGTCCCAAAGGCTTGAGACAAGAGTGACTGACAGTGTGGGATGACAATAATGACCGTCACAACATAGCACTTCTGTTTGCAAAGGACTTTCAACACCTTGTGACACTGGCCCTTATCCGCTGCTGGGAGAGGCAGGAAGGGGTCGTGGCCCCATTCTCTCCAGAAGGCACCTGACAAAGACCTGTCTGTGAGTTAATGACCAGGGTGATATGCCTGGTGTGTAGGATTCCTCACTTGACTGTGCTACAGCCCCCGATGCTCATTCAGAGGAGCCACACACATACACATGTGCAGAGCCAGGAGACAAAGGCTTCCCATTGTTTCTTTGAATTAAAAAAAAAAAAAAAATTAGTTGCCATGAATTTGTAAAGCTTGAGGGGAGATCTTCTCAAGTGAATTAACACAGACAGACTGCAATGCCCGCTGCTCAGAATGCCCTCCCCAGCTTTCCCACCAATGCCTAGAACAGAGCCAGGCACAAAATACATTCTCAATGAATGTTTACTGAATGGCTGAATGAGACATGCTAGCAAAACTAAGACTCAGTCTAGACCCACTCCTTATTATAACACAGCTCACAAAAGCCCACTGGTATTGTGTATGGAAAAAAACATGGAGCAAAGTTTGAAATGGGCCAGTTTCTACCATATTGCTTCAGTGTATGTCCTGCTGGAGATCTTGTCACACAATTGAAGGACAGACTAACAGGGTAACACCACAGTGTACACCTGTCTGGTAAGACCTGCTGGGCAGGGACAGGACCCTGGAGACAGCAGACGCTCTCTGCCACCCCCCCAAATCCTGGCCCTAAAACACAGAGACTGGAGGGGCAATGCAAGGAGGGAGTTTCTGAAACCCCATTTACATCAGTCCCTCCTGGGAGAAATGAAATGAAGGAGGCAGACAGATAATGTGAGACAAAAAAAGATGATAAAAGGGAGAGATCTGTATATTCTAGGGTCAGAGTAAACACTTTTATTATAAATTAGATAAGTTTTGCTTTAAAAGAAGGGAAGACTAGGAAAGAATTAACAGTGTGCCATTTAAAAGACTTAATGTGATCACCAATGCTAAATGAAAGAGGCATGTTTCCTGCCTAAGGAGATAATGAAAGGCTACATAATCTAATATGATATGGCAGTAGCCTGGCAGGGCCTAATACCACCCACCCTTTAGGGCATTCTGGCTATTCAGCAAAGAATGGGTGAACGTCTTGTCCTGTATAGTCTGTTCTAAAGCACAGAAGCAACTCAATTCACTTGGTGAAGTCAGCAAAGCCCTTATTCCCAAACCTGACAATGCCTACTGAGAAAAAACTGGTGTCTCTTAGGCGTATAATTGCAAAATTCTAAATAAAACACTAGCAAATAGAATTTAACAGTATGTTAAAGGTTTACTACCCCATGGTTAAGGTAAATTTATCCCGCAATAGGCTATTAGGCAATCAATTAATTGGACGTAGGTCATGACAACAGGGCAAAGGGGAAAATTAAAAGCAAAGGATACAACACGATAACAATTGAAGAATGGATGTTACGTAAAATCTACCTCCCAATTCCTAAGATGAGTTCTGGTAAACAAGGTTAGAAGGCCGCTTCCTTAACATGACAGGGAATATCTACTCTAAGCCAACAGCCAACACCATACCTAACAGGGAAGTGTTCCATTTAAATCTGGAAATGAAACAAGATTGGCTGTTGCCAGTATTCTTTAACATTACATACGGTTTTCTAAGCAGTATATTAAAGAAAGTAAACAGACACAAGGGCATTACTATCAGAAAGGAGAAAACTTAACCTTATTTGCTGATCATAGACTCGTGGAAAATCCAAGAGGATTCTACCCCTTAAATGAAGGAGGAGAGATTGGTAGGGAATCTGGTTAGAAAATAAGGAAGTAAATTAATATTAAAAATTATATGCCAGATATTACCAGTCAAAAATTATTAAAGAAAAAAGATTCCAGTCACAATAACAAAAATAAAATGAAATGTGGCAAGATTACTTGAGAATAATCTTAAGAAATGTGTGGGACCTACATGAAGAAAATTACAAAACTTGCCCAGGCACGAGGGAAGTCTTGAATGAATGGAGAGACAGATCATGTTTTGGAATGGAAGCCTAGATGCAGTATAAATGTGAAACTTTCCCAAGTTAATTCTAGGTTTAACCAAATCTCAATCAAAATCTCAAGGAGATTTTGGGAGAACTTAACAGAACTATGCCAGAGTTCTACTGAGAAGAATAAACAGGTGAGAAGAGCTAAAATAATTATGAAAAAGAAATGAATGCTACTTTTCAGAGGCCCCCAGATAAAAGCATGATGTAAACACAGCATCCCTAGGCTGCCTGGCTTCTGCAAGCTCCTTTGAAACATCCACAGAAGTCACAGGAGACCTCTGAACACAAGGTCTGGAGAACGGGGCCCAGAATAACCATCAAGTCCTCCTGCACAGCACCTTCTCACTTCTTTCCATTTCCACAGAGAGGTCCCAAGTGCAGATGCCAAACGCTGGACCCCACGGCTGAATAATGCTCAACAAGAGGCTGGAGCACATGCTGCTCAGTAGTAACTGGTCAAGCAAGGCCTCCCCACCTACCTGCCCAGAGCTCCGAGGTTATGTGAGGGGCCATGGGAGCAGCCATCACCATCAAGGCGCAGAGAGCATCCTCAAACTCAGGGCTGTGGAGAACAACTCTCTGAGAAGCTTGCTGAGGAACAGAAAAGAACAGCAATGTAAGAACACTGAGATGTACAAGATAAGCCTGGGTAAGAAAGGCCATGAATGTATGTGAAATCCAGAGACACAAACAGGCAGGAAGAAACCCTCTTCAACATCATTTTTGCTCTGGGCAAAGAACTTTCCCCATTTAATCATAGTATTAAAAATAGCTGGAGCAGCAACAGCAGATATATTACTATTTGTCTTTTTGGCCGTGCTGCGCGGCTTGCAGGATTTTAGTTTCCTGGACCAGGGATCGAACCCGTGCTCCCTGCAATGGAAGCTCAGAGCCCTAACCACTGGACCGCCAGGGAATTCCTGAGCAGATATACTGTTGACTGAGCATTTAACCACGCTCGCGGTCTGATGCTAACGCATTTGGTTTTTACTACCCTTTGAGGGCAGTATTGTTACCCCATTTGACAGATAAAGCAGCTAAGGGTTAGAGTGGGAGAGTCATCTGTCCCTGTGTACACGGTTAACCAAGAGATGGAGACCAGATTAGAATCCAGGTCGGTCCTAATTCTTAACCACTCAGCTATGTTTCCTATGTGCACAGAACCAGTGGGAAATAGAGACTAGCTCAAAGGTTCTGCAATGTGGAACCTCCAGGACAGGGGTCCTCTTGCGCCCCTCAGGGAGCTCAGGGTTCCCCATTCTTCGACAGTTCCTGCAAACACTCAGTGTCTTCCTGAGGTGTGGCTAATCAGTTAACTCAGTCACACCCATTCACTTTATGGGGCACCTACTATACACCACACTTCAGAGATAAAATGTCCAGAAAGGCATAGTCTCTGCCCTCAAGGAGCTGCAGGCCACCTCACCATGTGACTGGAAGCCACGCTCCCTCCTCGGTTACCAGCAAATGAGCACAGACGGGCCACCTACCGAGAGGGCACTGCTGAGTCCCATCAGTTGAGAAATCGCAGAATTCAGTGAGAAGTCCTCTGTGAAATGGGCAGTCACCTATTGGTAAAAAGTTGAATTATTCACTTTGTTCAAATTTCCTTTAAGCTTTCCATAAAAAAACTAACTTATCCAAAAAATGTGAAACTAAATGCATGCAATAAAAGATATTTATAAATGTATTCACTATCTTAAATAGTCACTTTAATGTTTCGTCAGCACAAAGATTTTTTTTTTTTTGCTGTACGCGGGCCTCTCACTGTTGTGGCCTCTCCCGCTGCGGAGCAACAGGCTCCAGACGCGCAGGCTCAGCGGCCATGGCTCACGGGCCCAGCCGCTCCGTGGCATGTGGGATTTTCCCGGACCGGGGCACGAACCCGTGTCCCCTGCACCGGCAGGCGGACTCTCAACCACTGTGCCACCAGGGAACCTCAGCACAAAGATTTTAAAAATCAAAGTCAATGTTGTTTCCACCACTCAAGACTGTTACTCTTCCCCCATATTTGGGACAGTGTTGGTTCCCATAGTAGGTGCCTAAGAAAACACTGATCATTACCTGAAAAGGAGGCAGGACCCATTTGATGAGCAAACATCAAAACGATAGTAAACAGGAGATGGGGTAAAGGATGCCACCTCTCTGTGGTTACACGACTTCAATTCACAGTGAAGATTATTGGTATATGGGATAAGGTTAGTTTTACATTTTCAAACATGGAGTCAACACAAGAACACAAATACGATTTGTCAGCTTTTTCCTGTTGGTGTGCTTTTCAATTTTGACCATGGGCAAAGATATAGAAAAATAACACATCCTTAAGATGTCCAGAGTTTCCAACTTGTTGAAATAACCCAATTCCATTATCTGACAGAAGAGAAGAATTTGCCAAATCCAAAGAGAAAATATGGGGTATGAAAACGATCATTCAGGCATCACTCTGATCACTAAATTCAATTCCGTGAGCTCTGTTTCCCTGCACTATAGTAGAGAGGATGAAAATAAAGCTGAAGAAGTGTCAATAAATGAGACCATGCTGGACCCAGGCCCACTGCAGGTTATACAAACCAGAGGAAAAGCCCTGCTCCTTCAACGTAATCAGTTGCCAGAGCCCAGCGAAGTGACCTTGGCTAACTTTCTAAGCTTGAATCAGCACAACTTAAAAAAACAAATTCAGCCTAAGGAGAATTTGGGGTATCTGGTACCCATTAAAAAATGGCTTCAGATTTCCTAAGGGCCTTCTTTCAAAGATATATGACATTTTTTCACAAAGTTCTTAAAAAAGGTGAATGTCATGGTATTAGAGCAGACCTCTAGATGAACAATTTAAAGGGATGCTATCAATGAAGAATCTTTTAAAGTGATTTAGACAATAATATACTATTCTCTAAGAAGATAAAGTGAACAATTATTTTACCTGTAAAATTTAACCCACAATAACTCACGTGAACATCGTGTAACAAAGTACCTGAGTGGGAAAGTACTCGCTATTCTGAGTGTCAGGGAACTCTGCTCTGTTCCTCACTGGTCGTGTGACTTTCATAAGACATTTAACCTCTCTGTGTCTCAGCTCTGCCCACAGATGGGATGAGGAGGAGGCTAAAGAAGAGAGTCTTTTCCAGCCCCTTTCAACTCTAAAATTCTGTTTCTGTTTTTATAACATATACAGTGTGTCATCAGTATGATATTAAATTTGGTTCTCTACCTGGATGTGTTAAATATGGAAACATGGAAAGTGGGCAGCTTCTTGAGATCCGGGATGGATAAATGGGAGGCACCATTAGTGGGAGCCATTTCCTGAGAGCATCTCTGTTCATGATAACGTTTGCACTGTTGCTCCACCTTGGTGAAATACCCAAAGCAGTAAGATCAATTAATCAAGGCAAGTGGGCCACCATAATAAGAAAGGAGGAAGACCCAGAGTGCCCACCCCAAGGCAGGGTGAGCCACACAGATCACGAGGGCTCAGTTACAGAATCAACCAGTGTCCCCTGGAAGGTTTCTGACCTGAGAGATGATGGAGTTCTTGTACTCCCACAGCTTCCTTCCCTCGGCTTTCTCCTCGTTACTCAACAGCTGAGGCCTGGGAACCTTCCCAGAAACCCTGGCCTCGATAAATCGAGTTGCCAAGGACCAGAGACGCTGCTGCCATCTCAGCACCCCAGGGAGAGCGTCGGCTGAGTGTAATGTCAGTGAATGTGAGAGAGAAAGAGAGACATGTGAGAATGATTGGTTTGGTTATACCTAAGTGACAAAGCACCTGTGAATGAAGAGACACTTCATTGTGCCCGGTGGATCTCTCCAAGGGCACGGAGAAGGGTCCTTCCTGGCTTCCAGTGTCTGGGAACTCAGACCAGGACTGACTCTATCATTTCTTAGAGCTCCAAATATTCGGAGTACAGGACGGCAGGGCTACACAAAGGGTTTCCACCAACTGTCACTGGCCCACAACGAGCTTAGAAGCTTGGGCCAGGATGTGCATCAGGGCACTGCCTCCTTGGTTAAGAAATCCTGCTGTGACAAAAGTGTCCTCGGAACTAACAGTGTGCTTGGAGACAGGGTTGACTTACACTGGTGCAGGTGCCCCATCTCACGTGGACAGGTAACATGCAGAGGCGGCAGTGGTCCACAGACCGCACTCTGAGCTGCAGTGCTGCACAGCCTGAGGTGTTTTAACACCACCCCTGTCCTCGCCAGATCCGTGTGTATCACATATTTCAGATGTGTTCATCAAATCAGCTGTTCATCTGATCTGGAGAAGTTGAACAGCTTCACCTGGTGGCCCTGGGTCACACAGCTAACCAAATTAGGGCCAGTTCAGGTCTTTTACACTTTAGCCACTGGACTAGACATTCTCAAGCCTGGATGCACAGCAGGATCTTCGGGAAGGCTTGTGAGAGACAGATTCCTGGAGCTGGTCCCACAGGGAGGGCTGGGGAGCCAGAACCTGGGCCTGAGTGTCCCCAGGGATTCTAGTTCCAGGACTGGCATCTGTGACCACTGCTCCAGACCACACTTCTCACTAGAAATGGTGTGTTGAACTGAACGGTGATTCCAGGCATCTGATTTCTTTTCCCCGTAACACTTGGATAAGACCACATGAAGGAAAACTGAATTACTGATTACTGTTGGACAGCTTATTCTAGGATATCCAGATACCTGAGATTATTCTACCTCACACCATTTTAGGTCTAAACAACTTTGGAGGGACGAATCTCCCCTGCGGGGGCCTCTGAAGGCTACTGTGGGTGACTGAAGAGGTCACAGGTAACATCAGGACCAGGCCCCATGCGGGGTTTTCTGGACTGGTGACAGGCAGTGACACCATTCTAGAAAAAACCTTTCAGGTTAGACCAAAAGGGGACTGGCCTCTGTGGACCACAGTGGGCCCAGGAGTACCACAAACGCCAGTCTGGCTCAAGGAAACGTTTTCAAAGTGGGATCCTCGTAGAACCTGCATGAGAACGCCACAGACTCACTGAAGGCAGGCTCCGGGGCCCTGGCCTGGGGGCTGGGTCAGCAGGGCTGTGGTGAGGACTGGGAGTCTGCAGTCACAGCGAGCTCCCCCAAAGGTTGGACGTTCATTTCATTACATCTGAGAAAACTGGCCTAGGAATGGCACAGGATGTTGGGCAAACTGCTACTTGCCTCACACAGCTGATTCCTAGAACCCTACTATTGACTCAGCAAAGACATTTCCTTCCTTGAATTCCTTTGGCACCGAGGCGGATCACAGAGGAGGCAGGCTGGGAAGAGGAAGGTGACTTACTTTTTACATCCCACAAGATATCCTTCTCAGGAGGGGCGGCGAAAAGGATGTAGAGCCGGATGGTGTCAATGCCGTACTGCTCCACAACGGCCTCGGGGTCCACGCCATTGTGCTTGGATTTGCTCATCTTCTCCCAAGTCACCTCTAACTTCTCCCTCGTGTTTGCATGAACAGGAACAGAACCTAGACACCAGAAAATTGCATCGGTAGGGGATGTGTGATGCCGAATTGGTTCTGTGACAGTATATTCAATAAGAAAATACTGGGTGAGCAATTATAAGTGTTAATTTAAAGAATTCCACTAATTCATTTAACATGACTTGTTCTCTCCCTCTAGACGTCATAAAAATGTTTTTGTTTTCAAATGAGTAGGCCCACCTCCCATAACAAACCTTCCTTTTTCTCAATCACAAAACAACACAAAGTAAGTTCCCTTTTTTTTTTTTTTTGCGGTACGCGGGCCTCTCACTGCTGTGGCCTCTCCCGCTGCGGAGCATAGGCTCCGGATGCACAGGCTCAGCGGCCACGGCTCACGGGCCCAGCCGCTCCACAGCATGTGGGATCCTCCCAGACCAGGGCACGAACCCACGTCCCCCGCATCGGCAGGCGGACCCTCAACCACTGCGCCACCAGGGAAGCCCAATTTCCCTTTTTTTAAAAAAGTAAATTACTTATATGCAAAAAGGAAAGTGAAAAAGGATAAGGAAGACTCGCATATTGCTCTTCTCTTTATGGATTCAGGGTCTCCTTTGGAAACGGGCAGATGACCAGTCAGGGTCTCCGAGCAGCAAAGCACCTGAGAGGTCACTTCACCTGGGGGCTAGGTCCCCAGTCCGTGTTGAAGTCACCAGAACATGATCTCGCAGCATCAAGGCCCATGCGTGGAGTTAGCTTGCTGGGCTCACAGTAAACGCGGTGTCCCATTGTGCAGCCCTGTTCTTTGTCTCCTTTCCACCCACACACCATCGGTCCAGACGGTGCTGATGGAGGAGGCCTTCCATGGCCATGTTTGGAGGAGGTGACCTTGCTGCCAAGCTCCAGTGGCTGGGACCAGGAAGGACATCTGAGAAGGCTAAGCTTCCTTCTCAGGAATTGGAACTAAGAGACAGAAACTCTGTCTCAATGCTGTTGGGCACTGGAACCAGAAGGTCCTAAGGAGCTGGGCCAAGACGTGGCTCTGCGGCTACCAAAGGTCACTCTGTAAACTGAAATTAGGGAGAGCAGAATCCAAGCCTGGGGGAGGAAGGAGAACATGGCAGAAGAACAGAGAGGGGCAGGGAGAGGAACTGGAGGCTCAAGAAAGAGGAGAGAGGAGTGGCCCGGCGGCTTCCTACATGTTGTACTTCCTGCAGCTGGGTTTGGGCGATGTCCCTACATCCCTGTGCGAAACCTGCCTTTGCGTGGATTTCTGTTCCTTCCAGCTAAATACTCCCTCTAACAGCAACCAAACTCACTCCCCAAGGTACCAGCGTATATACCTACAAGCCAACTCCATATTTCATGAGAGGCACACCCACTAAGTAGACAGGTGCCTGCCCTTGCTGATCCAGGTCCATATTCTCCCCCTGGGGGCAAGTCTGCGTGGGAAGGAAAAAGATGTTCACAACAATGCTTGACCTCGTGACATCAGAGCAAAGGGAGACTGAAGTCCTGGAAGATGTTTTATCCAAGCTGTGGTGAGGATCAGGGAACTACTGCCCCCTCTACCCCACACCCCTGTCCAGGCTGCAGCAAGCCTTTATAACACTGTTGTGAAAATTAGGAAAAAGGCATCTTTCTGGGCAGAGAAGTTGAGAAGCTAGAAAAAGGTGCCCTCTCTTGGCAGATGTGGCCCTGAGGTGTATAGTTGGGTGAGTGGCTGGATCTCGGGCCCTGCTCACCCCCTCAGGCGGTTGCCTTTGTACATTGCACAAACTGCACAGTCATACGTAGCAGCCCTGCCCATGACACAGAGAGCCCTTCACCAACAGCTAAAAGTTATGTGTCCCCTGGACTTAGCTCCTTTCCCTCTGGCAAGTGTTGGAGAAACACTGCCAATTTCTGCTTCTCCAGCTTCTTTTTCTCCCAAGGACCATGGTGACCCTTCCAAACCCTGAGGAATTACTGCTTTAACTAGGTAATCCCATTGCCTGCTTCCACCTAAACCTTCTCTCTAGTGTTTGGCTTGGGAGCCTGACTACCTTTTAAGGGGTTGTTGGGTTTACCTAATTTCATCCATTAAGCATGAGTTATTCTAAATTTAACTGCCAGAGTTTCTCACGGCCACCTCTCAATTTTCTGACACGTCATTTATTTGTATGCTGGGTGCACGTGATACACCCTCATCATGCCACCTAGAGATCTTTGAGGATGAGTGAAAACACAGGGTGGTAGGAAAAGGCTCGGGAAAGCTGGGAGAAGGGGAAGTCCAGGGGGTCAGGGGGAGGAATTCCACCAGGGGGCCCAAGTAGACTGGTGGTCCCTGACGTTCTGAAATGCCCCTCTAGACCACGTGGGGAGATGTGCTGAGAATGCCCCAGTCTTACAAGAATGTCTCTTGGGTCTGGGGGCTCTGTCCCTGAGATGGGATGTCAAACACAGGCTAGGACAGGAGGTGATGCCAGAGTTGACTCCATGTTATATACAAAAGAAAACACTTCCGGAAACTGAACTGACACTTGAGCTGGATGGGATGGGGCTGAGGGGAGCCAGCCTCAGCCTCAGAGGGCGCCAGCCCAGAGCCAGCTGAGGCTTTGAGACCATGAGGCTAAAGGGTCACTCGCCTGGATTCCTGCCCAGCCAGGGCCTGGCAGCGTTCGCCGGCTTGGTTTTCTGTGAGCACCTGGATGGGACTAGATGGGCCATTCTTACCTGTGAGATCTACTTCCTCTCGCTGTAGATACTGTCCAGATGGTAGGCAGAACGTCTGTCCCTTGACAAGGCCTTGGGCCAGCAGTTTATGAAAAGGCTCTCTGAGGACAGATAACAAAAAAAGAAAACTGGTGGGGCAGGGATTCAAAGCATCCAGAAAACAGCAGTACAAACCTTACCAGCTGATGAGCAGAGATAACTGCCCTGCATGAAAACTGGCTGGCCAATGCCACCTGTAAATCCAACTTGAACAAATGGCTCCTTACAAATAAGTGATAAGGAAATTAAGTCAAATCAGAAGAAGTTAACTACTTTCCAATGGGGCAAAGTGGAAAGAACATCAGGCCTCACATCTGGAAGACCTGGATCTGAATCTCTGTTCTGCTTCTCAAAGACTTTTATGAGCCCAGGCGAGTCACTTACTCTGAGCATCAGTCTGCTCCTCTGTAAAATAGGGATTTAAAAAACCTGCCTCAAAGCGTTGTTGGGAGAATTAAATGAAATGACTGCATGAAGATACTTGTAAATTTTAAAGGTCTGTACAAATGTCAGTTATGCTGAGCCCGGAGTAATGAAGGGCTCAGGAGGATGTAGACAGGTTTATGTTGGGGTTTTGCTCGTTAAGATTACTCTTTCCTTAACTTTTATACAGTGCCTGCTTACATTCTTTTTAAAATCATACAAATTATATATGAATATGCCCTTTCTCTTCGAATTCAAACACCCCTGCCCCCGCCTTCCCAGGCCTATTCCCCTCTGATGAGGCAGTTACTATCAGGATCTTATTTCCGCAACCAAGAATTGAACCCGGGGCCCCAGCAGTGAAAGCACAGAGACCTAACCAGTGGACGGCCACGGGATTCCCCAGATCTATTTCATTTTTAAACATCTATCGAGCATTTTACATATGGGTGGCTTACAATTTATTTATAGTGCCTTTTTTTTTTTAATAGTGCCTATTTTTTTAAAAAGCTGTTTTAGGGCTTCCCTGGTGGCGCAGTGGTTGAGAGTCTGCCTGCCGATGCAGGGGACACGGGTTCGTGCCCTGGTCCGGGAAGATCCCACATGCCACGGAGCAGCTGGGCCCGTGAGCCATGGCCGCTGAGCCTGTGCTCCGCAATGGGAGGGGCCGCAGCAGTGAGAGGTCCGCGTACCGCAAAAAAAAAAAAAAAAAAAAAGCTGTTTTAGTCACACCCTTACTGGCTGAATAATGAACTATAGATGTTTTCTCTTAAGAGGACAAGAAGGGGTTGACCCTCCTACTGAAATTACTTTGTCTCAGATTTGAAATTGTTACTCAGTTTTGAAGCATGTGAGCAAGAGCTATTCCAAACTCAAAGTATTTGTGGAAACCTCTGCTGACAGCATGTGCCGTATTTCACTCTTACAAAGCAGAAGGTAGGAACGTCTGAATGAGGGGACAGATTGATGTTTTCCACCAATATCACCCCCAGCATGACGAGCCTATCGATGTACAAACCCTCGGGTGCTTCAAGCTCACTTACATGGAATGGCTTTTATTTAGAGGCTCAAAAACCCAATAACCTCAAAGAGGCCAAGCCGACCACAAACCCAGCTCTAGTGATGTTGGAGGTAGAGGGCGCTGTCTTTGTTAATTTAACAGGATCTCATTTCACACTCGAGGCTCATGTAGATGAACCCTGATACAGGGTAAGGCCTCTGGACAGGCCTCTGATTTGTACACTGTGCAGCCCCTGTCACAGCAGCTGTGTGGACAGAGGCAGTTTAAAGGAAACTTTCTAGCGGATTCAGAGGGACAGAGTGGAACAAAGAGGCTTACTGGGAAAAAGATGAAGGTCAGCTAGAAAAAAAGGACTCCTGCCCTTCGTATTTTTTTTTTTTTTTTTTTTGTGGTACGCGGGCCTCTCACTGTTGTGGCCTCTCCCGTTGCGGAGCACAGGCTCCGGACGCGCAAGCTCAGCGGCCACGGCTCACGGACCCAGCCGCTCCGCGGCACGTGGGATCCTCCCGGACCGGGGCACGAACCCGCGTCCCCTGTGTCGGCAGGCGGACTCTCAACCACTGCGCCACCAGGGAAGCCCCTGCCCTTCGTATTTTAAAATCTTGTTATGAGCGTGTGTATGTATGCATGTGTGCATGTGTGAGTTTGGTGGTATGTGTGTGTGTGTGGGGGGGTATTTTCCAACGTGGAAAAGACCCATATATTTGACATCAAATGGAAATGTAACACGTATTTTTGAAGCCTCAAATTATTCAGTGTCACAGGGCCCATCCAGCATGGTACTGTGTTAATTTGGAAGAAATTTCACATGTGCATACGCATAAAAATAGTCACCCCATTGTTCCGGCTCTAAGATCTATCTTAATAATAAGCTCTTTTGAGTCATAAAACTGCCTTCCTTCCACCTCCAAGAAATTCCACCAGCAGTGTCACCATTGGCAGAATGACATCCTTTTGTGCCACATCCCAGCAAGATTCCCAGAAAATGTGAGTGATGGAAAGATATGAAAAATGATTTAAAAATACAATGCACTTGGATCTCATGATGCATTTTAATACAGAAACACCTTGAAGGGGGAGCAATGGTGTCTGGGGTCCCTGTTTCTCAGGAACCCTGGCACAGACTCCACGGGAACCTTGTGTCCTCGGGCCACATGAGCCGTATCCAGGGTAGGTTGGGGTTTTGATGCCCGAGGACCCAGATCTGCATTTTCCTCAGGAAGCTCAGGGAATTGTACCCACAGACCAAGCATGCAGTTCTCTCTACCATCAGCCCCATCTACCTTCCTGGCCTCTCCTCTCACATCTAAATGCCCCTGCTCCTCACAGAGGTCACAAGGACACTTGACCATTCCCAGAATGTGCCATGCTTCCTAGGATTCAGCAGGAATGCCCACCTCAGCCTGGGTTCCTGGGGAAACCTGGACCCAACCTTTACCACTGAGCTCAGGCATCCCCTTCTCCGGTGGCTGTCCCTGTACCCTGCACACAGTCCCCTTCACGCAGCTCCGAGCCCTCCTTTGTGCCCTGCCACGTCCAGCACACCCTGCCGTGAAGAGCATGACCAGGTTGCCCTGTGATTACAACATAAATACCCGTCCGCCCCCTGCTCTACCCCCACCGTGGCAAGGAGCATTCTCTTGTCCTTCCCTCTATCCCCAGTGCTTAGCACTGTACTTAACAGACAACATGCTCTTTAAACATGTTCAAAACATGGATGGATGGATGAACAAATGCGAATGAACAGACAGATGGCGGGATGGAAGGAGGAAGACACGGGATGTTTGGGGCTGCCAGCTCCTGAAGCCATCTTTGCCTTCTATCCAGTCTGAGGTGGCACCTGGATTTTAACCTCATTACAGAAACAATACAACACAGTTTTAAAACAGAAGGAGAAAATTGTATGGCTACGTTTCATGGGGCAGATGAAGAGACTGATTACAAAGCAAACTGCACAAGTGTTCTACACAGAAGGGATGCCTCCCCAACCCGCAGTGGCCATCAGTGGCTCGACGGGACTGATTTCTCACACGCCCAGGATGCACGTTTTTGAGCACTAGCTTATCTTTCAAGAATCTTCCTCAAATAATTTTGCATGCTGCTGCCTAACACAAAAGAGACAGACTGCAACCTTGTCCCTGCTGTGCTCAGTGGCAGGAGGATGAATTTGCTGTTACCGTCTTAGGCTCTAGTGTCCCTGTACCAGTTTTTGAGGTTTTTCCTCTCTTTTCTCACTTTGAGTACATGGCTTTGGTCACTCTCAAGAGAAAGAAAAGAGATGTCTTTGGGATGGAAGGAGGGAGGGAATAATCTGGATCCCAAAGATAAAAGACCAGTAGGATGATCAAAAGACCAGTAGCATTAAGCCTCCAGAAGGGGCGGGGTCAGAAACAAGGAGCTTGTTCTCCAGTCTTGCAGGTTATCAAGTGGCACAATGCTGCCCCCTTCTGGGAATGGACAGAATTGCAACCTGCTGGAATCTTGACCCTAACTCCAGCCTTTCCGCCTAAGGCTGCACTCCTCAGAACTCATCTTTTACAACTCTCTCTTCTTTTGTTTTTGTTTTTGTTTGCGGTATGTGGGCCTCTCACTGTTGCGACCTTTCCCGTTGCGGAGCACAGGCTCCGGACGCACAGGCTCAACAGCCATGGCTCACGGGCCCAGCTGCTCTGCAGCATGTGGGATCTTCCCGGACCGGGGCACGAACCCGTGTCCCCTCCGTCGGCAGGCGGACTCTCAACCACTGCGCCACCAGGGAAGCCCACAACTCTCTCTTTTTTAAAAGTAAACTTTTAAATGAGGTAAAGCACCCATACTGAAAAGCATATAATTCCTACGGGTAAAACTTGAGGAATTTTCACAACATAAACACACCTGTGTAACCAGTACCCAGGTCAAAGATCAGAATGTGACCTACTTTCTGAAGGCCCCCTCCTCCCACTTCTAGGCAACATCTCCCCACCATGGGCACCACCAGCCTGGCTGCTAACACCATAGATCAGTTCTGCCTGTTTCAAAACCACTTCTAAGCCTTTCAGAATGAGGGATCTCAGGGGAGCGTCCACACTGGAGGCCTTCTCCAGAATGGCAGGCGTACCCTTCTCAAACAGCAGCACACCCAAAACAAGGCCTGCCAGTTAAATGAATAAATCTTAATTTCCAAAAGTTAGCAACAACACAACTTGATAGCTGAGGCTCATCTGGGCTACCTTCTTCTTCCAGGGCTGAAGCACTGCAGGGCTGGCTGGAAGTGTCATCTAGTGCAGGGATGGCAAGACTGCCCCAGTGCCCCTCCCGCCCCATCACTGATCCATGGCAGCACTTCCTGTTGGACTCAGGCCGAGGCTCGGAATTCTTGGTATCACGTCCTCAGAAAGCAGAGTTACCCTGTGAAATCTATCATTTATTTATTCGGCAGGTATTTATTGAGTGCTGACTATGATTTCGTCACTGAGCCAGGCATTAGGGATGTCATGGTGGGCAAATCAATTACTGCCCTCAGGGAGCCAGCCTGTCTGCTATCACTGAACCAAACCAATGCCTGACCACTCTCAGAGCTGGGAAGGAGGAACAGAGTCCAGTCAGATCTGAAGATCAACTCCTGCCACATCAAGTCCA